CTCAAGGCACTAACAATCAATACGGAACAAACGAAGAATAGATCCAAACTGATAAAGAAATTTTTTTACCTCCAACTGAAACTCTAACAAGAGCCTCCAAAAGATCTCACCCCCACACGACGGTAGACAAGATCACCAATAGTAAAAATCTCACCTTTATCACCAAACGAAGCCCTAGACGAACTTCCAAAGTGATCTACTCCTCTAAATAGCCTAAGCGTAGCCCGGATCTCTGATACCACTTGTTGGGATTACTGCCGAGATCAAACACAAATGCCGAGAGAGAAGGACTAACACAATCACAATAATGACACAAACGTAAACAACCAATTTTTATGTGGTTCGGCAAATTACCTACGTCCATAGTGTGAATGAATGCATGTAGGGTCCACCCACCCATGTGAAGAGATGGAGGGCTGGGACAAACCGCGTGGGAAGCTATTGCCCAGCGGGTTTAGGAGTGCTTTGTGAAGAGATTGCCACAAACCGGTCCATCTTGGTTTGTTCAACAGGGTCCACCCGATTAACCACTAGGCTATAAATAGGAATAGGCTTTACCTAGGGTTTTTTAGGGGCAGTGCGGGAGAACAAAAGCAGGAGGCTGTGATTGTTTTCGGCGTGTGAAGGCAGGGTCGGAGGCGTGAAGTTGAGGTTTCTTTTGGCGGCTGTAGAGACGCAAAGGCAGAGAAGAAAAACAGCTGCATCAGATAAAATCCTAGGGTTTTGTGAAGAGAGAAAAAGTATTTGGAGGCTGACCTTTTCTTGTGAAGAAAAGCAAGGAGCCTATTTGAGGGTTTAGATTGTGAGAGTTGTAAACCCATTGTATTCTTTTTCTCTATAATAGTAGATCCCCCTCCTTGCCCCGTGGACGTAGGCTATTTGCCGAACCACGTAAAATTGGTTTATTTGAGTTTGTGATCATTGTAATAGTTTTAGGATCCCTCGACAGGTCAGCCCTAGAACTGATGAGAGGAAGAGCCGATATCCCACTTTGTTGAGATATCCGCTTCAGATTCTTGTCTCCTTGGTAAGACGGGAATTCTTATCGATCTAATCTCTCTTATTGTGCACCAGAAACTCTGCTGAAATTTTCGCTGCGCACAACAAGTGGTATCAGAGCTAGGTTCCAGATCTAGGGTTTGGTTGGAGGAGTAGATCAATTTGGAGGCTCGTTTAGGGCTTCGTTGGTGATAAAGGTGGAATCTTTTGGTAAAGACTCTATCTTTTTAGTTTTGGATCTATTCTTTGTTCGTTGGTGCGTAAGATGTCGGGGAAAGAAGGTGCTTCGGGTGTCGAGGGTGGTGCTTCTGGCGTGAAGACTATTCAGAGTTTGAATATCCACTCTATGAAGATAGATGTGGAGAAATTTAATGGCACAAACAACTTTGGATTATGGAAATGCGAGGTTTTGGACGCGCTGAACGCGCAGAATTTGGAGGATACTTTGGAGTTAGATGGCAAGCCATATGAGATTGAAGAGAAGGTTTGGAAGAAGATGAATCGAACGGCGTGTGGTGTGATTAGGTCTTGTTTGACTCAAGATCTAAAATATGATGTGATGAATGAGACTTCTGCGAAGAAGATTTGGGAGATTCTCGAAAGCAAGTATTTGACTAAGAGTGTGGAAAATCGCTTGCATTTGAAGAGGAGACTTTATCGTTTCCAGTTGAAGAAGGGAACCTCCATTAGAGATCACATGAACCACTACACAAAGCTTCTTGCGGATTTGACGAATGTGGATGTCAAGATTGAAGATGAGGACAAGGCGTTGATGTTGTTGAGTTCCTTGCCCGACGAGGAATATGAGACCTTCGTCCTTACTCTTATTAATGGGAAGGCAACCCTTTCGTATAGTGAGGTCACCGCTGCACTTGTGAAATATCAGCTTCGAAAGAAGGATAAGGAGGCTTCAGTTGAGCCGGTAGCAGAGGCGTTGGTCGGTCACAGTCTAGAATTGGAAAAGATCAGTGTGCTTGGTGCAAGGAGACTGGTCATTGGAAGAAAGACTGCCCAAAGCTCGACAAATGGATGAAGAATAAGCAGAATGGAAAAGGGAAGCAGCCATCATCAGAAGCAAACATCGTATTGGATGGTAATAATTCTGACTCTTCTATTTATTCGCTTTCTATCAGTCCTACAGATAGCTATTCGGAGGAATTTGAATGGATGTTGGATAGTGGTGCGACCTATCATGTGTGCCCTAGAAGGGAATGGTTCTCCAGTTTTGAGAAGCTGGTGGATAGTGGTGTGGTGTACATGGCTGATAACCGTGCATGCCAGATCCTTGGGATAGGAAGAATTCGCATAAAGATGTTTGACGGGACTGTTAGAGAGTTAAACGATGTGAGATATGTTCCTTCTTTGAGGAAGAACTTGATCTCGATTGGAGCTTTGGTTGGAGAGGGTCTGAAGGTTCGTGTTGAGGACATGGTTCTCGAGATTGCGAGAGACTCTCGTATTTTGATGAAGGGCGTCAGGAGAAATAACCTGTATTACTTGACTGGAGGTATAGTGGCAGGTGGAGAGCTGACGACTTCTGTTGATTCGACTAGACTGCGGCATTTGGGGCTTGGCCATTCCAGTATTGATTCCTCGCATAGATTGAAAGAGGGTGCAAAGACCTGCAGTTTGAAGTCCAGTGAACATGTTGATGTGAGCAAGAAGACCGAGGTGAAGTGTGGCACCTCTATTCACCGTGCTAAGGGTCGTTCTGGAGGAGTTCACGTGGATGTTTGGGGGCCTTCCAAGGGGGCATCATTGGGAGGTAATAGGCGTTTGGTTTCCTTTGTTGGTGGCTGTTCTAGGCGTGTTTGGGTTGCAACCAAATCCCCTTTGGAGAAAGTCCTAGTAGTACTAGATAGGGTGACAAATTTGGAAGACCGTACCTTGCTGGAGGAGGATCGGTGTTTGTGGTCGAGGAATGGTTTGCAGAAGAGTTTCTGGACAGAGGCTTCGACATATTTGGGTCATCCTATTAAAGAGTTGTCAACTGCTGTGATTGGAGGTAAAACTCCATTGGAAGATAGGTCTGGTAGTGTCACTTTGGTTGAGGCTTCGATGAGGAAGCCAATTGACTCTCAGCAGGTGAAGAGTTTTGGACAGACCTTAGAGGTATCGCAGGGGGTGGAGATTGATGCTACTCTATATTGGGTGGGGATTTTCCCACATACTCCAGGTCATTCTGTATTGGTTGGAATTCCAGCTGAGGTGACACAGCATGGGAGTCATTTAGATTTATGTGCAGATGATGAGTTGGTTTTTGAATCGAGTGCAGCTGGTAGACATAGTTTGAATATAGCCATTGGTTCGCCTCAGGTGGAGGTGTTTGAGGCCATTGGAGGTGCTATCAGTCGCAGACTTGATGATGATATTGGAGAAGGGTTGCGAACTCTTCTATTGGTTTGAGGTCGTTTGCGGCCATTTGGGTGAACTACGTTCGGCTTGATTCCTTGGGCAAGAGGATACGTAGGCAGTCTTTATGATGCAGCCGGGGTTGGTTTTTGATGGGGGTGAGATCGATTTGGTGAGTTGATACTGATATTTGGATGAGTGTTCGCACTCCCATTTGGGTCTCGACTTGTTATGGATTGAGTCTGTTGTCGTGAATTATTTCACGGTGTACTGGACACAACAAGTGAGGCATTTGATTTGGTCGGTGTCGGCTCAGTTTTGAGAAAACTTCGCCGAGGTGGAGAATTGTGAATGAATGCATGTGGGGTCCACCCACCCATGTGAAGAGATGGAGGGCTGGGACAAACCGCGTGGGAAGCTATTGCCCAGCGGGTTTAGGAGTGCTTTGTGAAGAGATTGCCACAAACCGGTCCATCTTGGTTTGTTCAACAGGGTCCACCCGATTAACCACTAGGCTATAAATAGGAATAGGCTTTACCTAGGGTTTTTTGGGGGCAGTGCGGGAGAACAAAAGCAGGAGGCTGTGATTGTTTTCGGCGTGTGAAGGCAGGGTCGGAGGCGTGCAGTTGAGGTTTCTTTTGGCGGCTGTAGAGACGCAAAGGCAGAGAAGAAAAACAGCTGCAGCAGATAAAATCCTAGGGTTTTGTGAAGAGAGAAAAAGTATTTGGAGGCTGACCTTTTCTTGTGAAGAAAAGCAATGAGCCTATTTGAGGGTTTAGATTGTGAGAGTTGTAAACCTATTGTATTCTTTTTCTCTATAATAGTAGATCCCCCTCCTTGCCCCGTGGACGTAGGCTATTTGCCGAACCACGTAAAATTGGTTTATTTGAGTTTGTGGTCATTGTAATAGTTTTAGGATCCCTCGACAGGTCAGTCCTAGAACTGATGAGAGGAAGAGCCGATATCCCACTTTGTTGAGATATCCGCTTCAGATTCTTGTCTCCTTGGTGAGACGGGAATTCTTATCGATCTAATCTCTCTTATTGTGCACCAGAAACTCTGCCGAAATTTCCGCTGCGCACAACACATAGGAGCGGCACAAATAATTTCTTATTATTAACAAGAAAATACAAATAAGAGAGAAGATCTCAAACTTGAGATCTCTCAAACAAGTAGCAGGTGATTTTAATCTAAAATCACCGCTCAAGCTCTATCTTAATTACCCCAAAGAAACCCCTATTTAATTCACCAAACTCTTCTCAATAAATGAGTACAGGACAAATGGGCACACAAATTGGAGGAGAACGGACGCCCAAACGGAGAGAGAATAAATCTCACCCACTGCTCACGCTCTCTCTCCCTCTTTGCTCAAAAAGCGCCGTTGCTCCAAGGGGGTTTCCGCCGCTCCCGTTCTGCTGGAGAATAGAGTTTCCCTTTTATAGGGAAACCTTATGGCAATCATGCGCTCCAGCTGTTCCCAGCTGTTCTCCACAACTCAGGCGAGCTCCAACCATCTCGCCTGCAGGCGAGCTCCATCCTCGCCTTCAAACCCTAGCCATTTGCCCTCGTCTACAGGCGAGCCCCTCGCCTCCATCTCGTCCGCAGCGACAGGCGAGCTCTGATTTCCACGCGAGCCCACCCTCGCCTGTCCAATTCCGCAGGCGAGATCTGTTCAAGCCCTCGCCTGCAGGTGAGCTTCTCAGCTCCGATCTCAGGTATCTCAGGTGAGTCCTTCTCGCCAAATCTACAGGTTAAGCTTCATTTAACTGTATGTGCACAAATGCTATATATAAGGTGAAATGAGACAGATATTTACCAATTGTAAGAGGTTAAACTTCATATAATCTGTGCCTAGATGGCCAAGTTACTATCTACACAAATTTCAATGAGATTAAACAAACTCATTGAAATAGTAATTAAAAGGCGAAGGTTCCTTATTGATAAATTTTACTTGACTACATGTTCATTTATATCTTGTATACATTTGAAATTACAACATGCTTTAATGATTATCTGAATATTGTGGTTACATTACTACCAGTTACCCTTCCATTTGATACTATTTCATGAACAGCTCCATCAGTGCAAAGGAGCTGAAAACATAGACCAGGTTTCAATGTCAATGAAGGTCCTGAACCAAGAGAGTAACCTCATGTTTACAAAGAATCAATAAAAGAGGTTTTCCATATTTAATGCCGAAAATATTATTCATTTTATCATTTTCATATGAATATTTGAGACCTTGATATTTTCAAGTAGTTAGTAAACTTCCGCCCTAAAACAATCTACCTAAATTAAACTAAACTAGATACATTCAATATAGAAAAATACACTCAGTATATAGGTAAGCATCTGGTTGATAGAGAGATGGATTTTTGGCCTAATTAAACTTAGAGCTGTGCAGCAAATGGAGAAAATAATCATAGTATACCATTGTGATATTCTGTATATATGTGGCAAGTTCAGGGATAGTGCACTCGCTTATAATTTCTTTAGTATTATATCGATTATTTACATCAACTTTTGTCTTACATCTTTTAAACTATTTGCTTTTTTTATGAGCAATTATTTCCCTTTAATAGAATTTTATCCTTGTCAGGGGGGCAAAAGATCTATAATACTGTTTTGCATGTAACCTAATATTATTAATAGCTTTTATCCCTTTCTGTTCAATTATTCTCTCTACTTTTGAATTAATTTTGATTATTACTCAAAAACACACACAAGTGATACATTCATCAAGTGAGAAAGAGGAAGAAGAAAAGAAAGAGAATAGCCACAAGGTGCAGCTTTGGCCTTTAGTGTATAATTTTGGTTGTTTGTTAAGACATTATATGTAGTACACAAAATTATTGATATAGCAGGCTTTATCAATTGCCATGATAATGTCCTATATATTTGGTCTGTAAACACTTTTTGAAATATCTATATGTGAAGCATTCAATTATTGTTTTTTTACAACTTTTCTCATCATGTTCTCCAATTATAAAAAAAGGAAAGAAGAAAAATGGGATCAATTAATCAATTTGTGGTGCTATTAATACACTTGTTTCCCAACTGAAATTAACCAACTCTTAATTTTTCCCTCCACGTCGCCTCAAATCAAATCAATGGTTCTTCCTACTGTTTGTTTCTCTTCTTCCTTCTCCTTCCCCAACTATTCAACATCTCCACCACTTATCTTCTCGGCTCCTCTCCATTCTCCTCCCTTCCCGAAACCGAGACAAAGCATCTCCAATCTTCGACATTTCTCCACTGCTCGCAATATCCAGAAATCCTTCTCATTGCCACATGATGATCTGGGTATTGCCTGTTCATGTCCAAGCAAGCCAATTATGTCCTCAAAATCCAAGCTCGATGCTCATGAAGAAGAGAGCTCAAGACCAAATTTCAAAATGACACTATCTGAGCTCTTGAACAAGACCAGAATCACACCCGTATCAGTTTCTGGCAATTTAGACATATCGATCACAGGAATCCATCATGATTCAAGGGAGGTAACTTATGGAGATCTCTACATTTGCTGTCATGGGTCTAAAACTGATGGTCATATGTACATCACTGAAGCCATTCAAAGAGGAGCCTCAGCTATACTTGCAGATAAACACCTTGAATTTGAACAGATGTCAAACTGTAAAGCTATAGTTACAGTCGAAGACACAAATTTAATCCTCCCTCTAGTTGCTGCAACATTCTACAGGCATCCATCAAAGAATCTATCAGTAATCGGGATTACTGGAACAAATGGAAAGACGACAACAACCCAATTGGTAAAATCTATAATCGAGGCAACAGGATCAAGAGCTGGGACTTTGGGCACTCTCGGTTATTCCATTTGTGGCGATAACCAAATCGAAGAAGCTCCTAATACTACTCCTGATGCTGTGTCAGTCCAAAAATTGATGGCAAAAATGATGCATAACAGTTCAAATGCGGTTGTAATGGAGGTTTCATCTCATGGATTAGCACTTGGAAGATGCAATGAGATTGATTTTGATATCGCCGTGTTCACTAACTTAACAAGAGATCATTTAGACTTCCATGGGACTGAAGAGGAATATAGAAATTGCAAGGGGAAGCTCTTTGCAAAAATGGTTGATCCAAAAAAGCATAGAAAAGTTGTGAACTTGGATGATCCAAATGCTGATTATTTCATAGAGCAAGGGAATGCTAATGTGCCTCTTGTGACCTTTGCAATGGAGAATAAAGAAGCCGACGTGAAGCCGTTAAAATGTGAGTTCTCATTGTTGAAGACTAAGGTTTTGGTTGATACACCGAAGGGGGTAATTGAGATCAGTTCAAAGATTATTGGGAGGTATAACGTGTATAATATGCTTGCTTCTGTGGCGGTTGGAATTTCATTGGATGTGCCGTTGGAGGCGATTGTGAGAGGGATTGAAGGCGTTGAAGGAGTTTCTGGTCGATGTGAGTTGATCGATGAGGGCCAAGCATTTGCTGTGATTGTTGATTATGCTCATACTCCTGATGCTCTATCGAGACTTCTTGATGCTGCGAGAGAACTGAATCCAAGAAGAATTATTACCGGTAGGTGTTCTGTTGTCAAGACCTATAGCATGGATGAATTTAGATTAATCAGTATTTCTCTGCTTATTTTTAAGTTTGGGTTATTTCAGCATTAGTCCCTCAAATCCTTAATACTTTGATATTAGTCTCCCAAATCGTTGAAATTTGTAGTCAGCCCCTTAGATCTAAACTGTTTTGAAATTAATCACCTAGTTAGCAGTTGTTCGATTTGGGGTGGAATACTCATTTAACTTAACTAATTTGGGGGATTAATCTCAAAATATGAAGATTTACGGGGCTATTTTAAAATATGAAAATTTTGGGGGACTAATATCGAGAGAGAAAAAAAATTTCATGGGCCATGATATCTGACTCTTTAAAAGTAATTCTTAATTCTTTTCCTAGTAGCGAGTAAAAAAACTTCCTTAATTGTTCAAAAACTTGGAAGATCTGCTTGCTTAAAACAATTTGTTACTGTTGGGTAATCTAATAATTCTTCTTGGATTCTTTTCCTAGCTTTTCTCTTCACTGAAGTTAATTATTGCTGTTGCAAAATGTAGTATTTGGCTGCGGCGGTGAAAGAGACAAAGGAAAGAGGCCATTAATGACAAAAATAGCAGCCGAAAAGAGCGATATTGCTATTCTGACATCAGACAATCCAAGGAAAGAAGATCCATGTAATGCACTCTTCAGCTCAGTTTGTGTTTTAACTTCTTTTTTTTTTTTTGTGGCATATACCTACGTAATACAATTGCTGATGTTAATCTGAACTTGGTTAGTGGACATCTTGGACGATATGTTGGCTGGTATTGGGAGAACAATGGAAGATTATTTATCACGTGGTGAAAACGAAAACAACCAACCTCTTCAAAATGGCTGTAGGGTTCTTGTGCATGAAATCAGAAGAGTGGCCCTACAAGCTGCCATCTCCATGGGAGAGGAAGGTGATATAGTGGTAAGTTTCTTTCTTGCACTATGTATCCCTTTTCGCTGATATATGTATCCCGAATCTTGTACACATATGGGTTTAATTGCAGATGCACCTACGTTGGTCACTTAATTATTGCTTCTAAACTTTTCATTAGCGCTTAAAGAGTTACCTCTCTGTTGTATGTTTTTTCCCCCTTTCCGCGAGGAAAAACCTCTCTATTGTCTGTACTTGTAATATACGCGATATATGTACAACACCTGTAAGAGAATAATTAAGGGGGTCTTCCTTACGCAACACGAGGACATATCATGAATCTCTTTGCAGTACACTAATGTCACTTAACACCCACGTGGTGGGTGCAAAGACTTATTTAAGCCCGTAAAGACATCAGTAGGTCTAAGTGGTAATAAAAAGATTTAGGGATGATAAACGACTAACCTCCTATAGTGTAGAGTGTAGAGGGTATGTTTTTGCAATTGATTCTATAATGTAACTCGTACGCAATTCCTTCTATAGATGCTATTCATACTCTCTTGAATGAAATATGACAAAATTTGTTTCTAGCAAATTCTTGTTTCACAAAGATCTGTTAAAGTATCAACTAACTCGCTATTTCATCATGTCACTATGTTATTTCGATATTGATATCACGTACTTTTTAGAAACATGTTCTGAAGTTTTGCCTCTTGAGTGAGTCTACGATTAATTCATTGTTGGCGCTATAAGTAATAGCTTTCAATTTTCTCAATATTCCTAAACTAAACTAGATTTTTAAGATCTCATAACAAACTCACTAGTCCAATTTTTTTGTTTGTATGATTTTGTCTTCTTCAAATAATCATCATGTAGGTTGTTGCTGGCAAAGGTCACGAAACATATCAAATCGAAGGCGATAAAAAAAGACATTTTGACGACAGAGAAGAATGCAGACAAGCGATTCTTTATATCAACGAGCTCCGTGAAGCAGGAATAGATACCACTGGGTTTCCATGGCAATAAGAAGCTTTTTACATGAATATATAGAATGTTGAGCTGTAATTGGTCAAATGTATATTTTGTATGTAAAGTACTCCCTACTTCTGAAATGTACTGTCTGTGCCTTCACAGATTTCAGTTATGTTTTTATTATTATATATAAATAAAATTATGATAATAGAGACAGGAAGGAGGAATACATGGGATATACCTGTGGGACCCTTGACTTAGAAGATATTTGGTCGCTTGACTCTTTGCTTTTTTATATTATTTAATGGGTGTCCAATAAAATAAAAGAAACTCTCTAAAATCCATGTTTCTTCACCTCAGCCAATAATTTAACTTAGTCAACAATTTTTCTACAATCAAACACGCAAGATAATGATAAATTTTCTAAACAGTCCCATATGGACATTTAATCCCCAAAACAGATTCCTTTCCACAATATTTTCAAAAACCGACCTCGTTTCAGCATTGGCCCTGAAACCAGGTCGGTTTTTGTGAAAAAACTTTCGAAACTTCATGGGAGTTGAACTCCCGTGAAGTTTAGCAGCTTTACAAAACTTTACGGGAGTTCAACTCCCGTGAAGTTTCGAAAGTTTTTTCACAAAAACCGACCTGGTTTCAGCGCCAAGGCTGAAACCAGGTCGGTTTTTGGAAATATTGTGGAAATGGGTTTTTTTTTTGGATTAAATGTGGAAAGAGGTCGTTTTTAAAAAATTGTCATGCAAGATAATTATGGAGTGTTCCTCAACCTCTCCCAACTCTTTAGAGCATTTTAATGTATCATTAGTAGCACTATACAAATAGATCTAAGTAAAGCCTAAATGCTTGATTTATCGAGTCTACAGAGGCAACTAATGCATTATTTTTCAACCCAGAAGTCATCATCAAAAATAAATAACGTTAGCACCATAATTTAACAACACTCACTATCAATAAATTTATTCATAGTGCAACCATAATTATGGTAGAGATCTTTGATCAAATTATTTCCCAGCATCTGCTTATTTCACTTTCAAGTAAGTTATACGGTCAGTTTCCAATTAAAATCATATCTTATATCATTTGGACTTCCGATTGTGGTCAAGTCATGCTTTCGCTACATCACGTGATAATTTCACGCGTCACTTTTCCGTGTAAAATCGGATCTTATTCCAAATCTATTCATAGCCGCGTATTCCCCTGAGGATTGATACTACCCAAGCTAAACTCTCCTAAAATATCAAATCTAATGGAAAATCTAGGAAATGATCCTAAAGGTCTTTTCCTCCAAGACATAAGGTGCTTCACATTTGAAATATCATATAATCTTTTGATCAAGGAAATTGTCGTCACACTCATGGTCATGATTTGGAGTAAACCATCATAATTCTTGATCAAGGAAATTATCGTTTCCACATGCCTTCTATACCCTCTTTATATCACTAATCCATCTTCAAAATCATTTTGGATATTGACTAATTCATCCTCTTAAATCGATTTAGATCTATAGCCTAAGCTCTGGTACTATACTGTCATGACCCTAATTTTCGGACCTCAAATGAATATTGTGTTGGCTGTGTTGTGCACAGTAGAGGGAGAAAAGACATTTTGCCTTCAAACAATAGTCACACATCGCCTAATTTAGTGTATAGGTAGGTGTTTAAATTGGTTCTCTTCTCTTTACCCCTTGAGGGTCCCAAGGAAGGGGGTGTTTTGGGCATTCAATTTGTTTGGGCTTTGGATAACACGCACGCGCGCGCCCGCCCCTAACTCAAAATAAGCAATTAGCAATGGCTAGATCGTGCGCTCGTTTTGGAGAACGTGCGCTGAGTTTTACGGGAAGTTCAAAAATGGCTGCGCGAATTTGGCGAACGTGGCTTGGATTCAGCGAGGAGTTTCAACAACTTAGGATTTCTAAAACCCTATAAATATCGCCTCTAACTCAGTTCGTAATACACAACATGA